TGTGGGAGTCGGATCTGCACAGTTAAATTTGTCAAGGGTGTTTAGGGATTAGAGATTTCTATGTCGCGGACTCACTTAGAACAAAGACTGAGAATATAGTGTTTGGGGATTAAGTTACTCTGCCAAAAGTTCTCAATCCCTTTTTTGGGTGAGTACAATGATATATATATATAGTGTTTAAGTAAATGGGCAACTAATAAAATGGGTTTGGCCCATTAAGCAATATATATAATTTAGGCCCATAATTTCACTAAGCTCATTTTGATTATTAGTCTAATGTCATTTTGGGCCTAGATTCAGACTGGACCCTTATAGACATGATCCGATTTCGTTAGGACGCTGCAGAGTTGATCTCATCGTTATATCGATCTCATAGGGGAGAAAATCGACCCCTACAGTTAGCCCCCAGCTTGGTAGTATCGAAGTCTGAGATCGATATGTTGGACTGCGAAATTACCAAGCGTGGACGTTTTGTCATCCAACTCGGGAAGTTTACATTATTCCGGATTGAGCCGATGTCAGCGTATTTTCCTAGACTTGTTTTCTTTTTCTTTACTTGGAAGATTTATGGAGTTGATGGTATTGTTGCGTTAGTGGGTCTTGAGGCCTTCTGGAAAATTTCCAAAAAAATAAATTGATTTTAGGAAATCCTCCAGGTATAAATAAGTATGCTGCCTTGTCGTTATTCTTTACGGATTCACTTTTTCTCTAATCAAAAGTTAAAAAATCCTCTCCCCTCGTCCCTCCGGTCAACCACCCTAGCCTCCTTGACCTCCGGCGAAGGCTTCCACCGTCGGTTCTGGAGCCGTAACCCGTTCGCGTCGAGGTGGAACTGTCACAACCCGTCCTTTTTATATTATTTTTTTTTAACTTTAGGTTCGAATTAGCATTCCCATAAATGCTAACCCTCAATAACCCAATCCAACTATCTCATCAACCAGCGGAAATCAATAAACAGATAAACCAATAAAACACTCAATAAGTCTCATACTTTATTGAACTAACATCTCAATTTCAGAATTAAACATATTTCCATAGAATTCCAACATCAACAACCTAACAATGCT